TTCCAGAGTGGGTGAAGGGAAGTGAAGGATAACATTGATTTCGAAGAAGGAAAATATTTTACTGTATCTGCAGCTCCTTTATGAGACAATTTGCACTTTTAAAAACTGCTTTTTAACACTAATACTTTAACCCTTTCCAAATATGCATGGAACATGGTTTGTCCAGCACACTTCCCTAGTGTGGATGAATTACGCTCTGTTGAACAGATTTGATGTTTTATCATGTTGAACTGTTGGTTAAAGATGTGCATTCATCAGTGGATCCCACCGTTGAATAATGGATAAAACTTCACTGAAGCAGACTTAATCCCTCATAGAGCTTTTGAAAAGGTAACATAAAGATTGTCTTTGGATAGAAAGACGAGGGTGTTAGTGACTGGTTGTTGACACTTCTGGTATTTTCTAGAATAAGTAGTTGAGATGCAAATAACTGATGCTAACTTTTCTTATACTGGCAGTCTAAGGAAAGAGCTAGTGAGTTTGGTTTACTATTAAGTTAAACCAAAAACTGGTCCAAGGTAAGTGTCATTAGAAGAGTATAGATTTAAACTAGCAATGGCAGGGGAAGGAGTGTTTGCTGTATTTTTATTTTTAAGGGTTAACTTTGCACCAGTGTGCCTTCCCTTCCTGTTGGGGGTGCTTGGGACCTCATAATTTCAAGTGACATCATTCAGTGTCACGAGTGTTTTCTCCCCCTTACAAACACTTGAGAGAAATAACAGGGTAGTAGGAGTCAGCTTTTCTTTCTTCCCTGTTTAGGTTGTGGTGAAGTCTGCTACGTTGTCCAGTAGATTTTGCACACAGGCTTTGTTCTGAATAAGTCAAAATACAATCCATCCAGTTGTGATTTCTTAATCGGAGGAGAAGAACATCTGCTGTTTGCATTATTACTACCAAAAAGGCAATCCAGCTAAATGTCCAGGAAAATGCAGATGTACTCCTTCCTCCACTGTTTCTGGAAGCTAAGGTGGATATTGCCCTGCTTGACCAGAGGGTTTGTTCAGGAAGGTATCTAGATTTGATGACAGGGCCGTTTCATGGTACTGTTGAAGTAAAATTAAGTGTGATTCTAGGCAAACTGGCTTAAAATGCCCATTGGTCTTCATATGTGAACAGGATCCAAACAGCATTTAACCTGATAGAAAAAACAGCCCTTGCTTCTGGTTTTGATCCCTGTCCACATAATGCAATCAGACTGTTGGAAATACGGTATCACTGTAACAAAGGTAAAACAGTTCAATGGAAATGAAAATACGGTTTTAGGTGTACATAGGTGCATGGGTAGGGCTGGGCTTTGCCTTTATGCCCTTTAACACGTAGCTGTCTATATATGCACTTGGGCTTTCCATTTGCTGCAAATTCAGAGCAATAAAATGTATCTCCCCTGAACTGCACCTAGCCAACCGCCCATGGCTTTATTTATAAACTGCGGTTTTGGTTGGGTAGGAAAGGTGAGAGCGTCACTGTGCAACATCCACTGCCTTCCAAAAACCACGATTCAATTGAAAAGGGTGCTCAAAATTTTGTTATACACATTTCCTTTGTGTAAATAAATGTTTACAATTTTATATTAAAGATTTGAATAAGAGTTAGATCTTCTGACTGTATATTTTTTACTTTTTATAGATTTTAAAACTATAATTCTTTATATATGTGTTTGAGGGGTATTATGGTAAGTTTTATGCTTGTAAATGGAGAACAGTTGAATTTGATGCTAACCTTTATGAATTTTTGTCATTGAAATGTATAAAGAGTCCATTAATCCCCTTATTCTTTTACTACAATTACTGGTGCACACCAAAAAGAAATCCTTCACTTCTGTTTTATCATTATAAAATAAATATTTTGCTAGTGTATTAAACATACATGGTGTGACTTTATACATTTGTGTGAGCTGAGCAGAGTTCAGCGTTGTTGTTCCTAGTGGTGCTCCCTTCATCCCAACACGCAGTTTTGGTCAGCCTGCTCCTGAGGCTCGAATTCTTCTGCTGTGTCCTACCAGTTCTTAAAGGCCGTTTAAATAGGCCAGAACTGGATAAAGAGACCTTAGAAAACTTTACTTTGCAAACAAGGATTTATGCTACACCCACTGCTTCTGGACTTTTCTTTTTTAAATGCAGTTGTAGGCCTTAAGCTAGGAAATACGACTGCAGAGGTGGTTGTTACTAGTGAGAAAGATGTTAATAACTACCGAGACCTCACATGCAAAATTGTAGAGTTCTAAAAATATGCACAGATTCCCTCAAAATAACAGGCCTTAGAGGTTCAAACCGGTTTCCTTGAGACTTCTAAAAAGACAAAGGTTATGTTTGTTTGATGTGGGCAGATGGCACACACAAAAAAAAAAAAAACCCGAACTGAGAGATGAGGAAAACATGCTGCGAGCATCAGTTAGTATTTCTGAACAAGGAACGAAATACTTGGCAGCAAGTTGTGTGAAGATTTTGGCTTAAAGCTGGTAAGGTCCGTAAGCCACTGCACAGTGCTGGTGGGTCGAAGAGGCTGTGGAAAATAATGGCAAAATAGGTCTTTCAGACCTTGTGGGATTGTTGAGCCCCTCAAGATGAACACTTAGCCCTGTGTTGGTTAGAAGAGAAGTAAAGCAAGGATCTGTGGCTCCATCAGTGCCCAAAGGAGCCTAGATGTAGTGGTGTGTGTTTGGATGTTAATATGTTCTCCTTAACAAGTTATTACTTGACGAATTACTCTGAATTGAACATTTCAAAGCAGTTCTCTTAGTGAATCATACCACTTGCAACAGACCCAAGAATTCATTTATGTAGTATATCCTGTTTGTCAAGTGTGCCTTTTAACTGATGATATCTAGGCTTAAGTTGTAAACTGACATCTCAAAGCTCTCCAACCACAGATTTAGCGGTAGCGATAAAGAAGAACTTGCGAAGTGTGACACATGCATTTCTTGCTAAGGCTGTATTCATTTTACATGTTACTGTAATTTTGGGCATCCTCCTATGTAGTAAGAATTTTAATCAGCTTCAAACATTTGAAGGATCATTCTTCAATCATTCCAGTTGGTGTCTTCTTATATAGCTATTATGTTTAAGGTTTCAGCTCAGAGCCCTTCAGATTTCCTCAAAAAGTGCATCCTGACTTACCTGAGTATAGTTTGAGTATATTCCTCTACGAATTTTGAGTTGTATTTGGGGGGAGGAGGGGACATGTAACTCCAGAAGCTTATAAAGAACCAAATGTAATAATAAGTAACAATACCAGGATGAGCTGCTTCTAGCCTGTGGGGAGCTGTAAAGTTATTAATTTAATTTATTAACTTTTGCTTTATTGTCCCATTAAAAATGCTGCGTTGTATTTAATGTTGAGTAAAACAGAAATTTCCCAAACTGTCCCCCGTTGAAGTGATGTGCATGTGCATGGTTTTTCCAAAGATTTTCCAAAGGAATCAGTGGCAGCTTGTGACCAACCTCTGCTCAGAAACTGATTATTTTTTTTTTTTTTGTCTTCTTGATGTTAGTGTTTTTCCTGAGGCTAATGTAAATCTGTAATGGAAGTGTTTTCTAAAGTCTGAATTGTTTGTTGAAGTGGTGTAAGCAGAAATAGACTCCTGGTGACATTTTCCCTCTGTCTTTTATATTGGACACCCCAGATGAAATCCTGGGTCACCAATAGATTCTGTCAAGGTTAATTGTTTTATTTCTATTTCAGTCTGGGTCTGCTAGCAGCTTGGAGGGTCTAAAGTCACATCGTATGAGTGCTTTGCAGAGAAAAGGAAGGGTTTTGCTATTCTACATGCGTGGGATTTTATGAAAAGTGCACAACTGTATGTTTGAATTATTTAACTGAAGTTTTCAACTTGATAAGCTGTTATGATGGAGTTTTGAGGCAATGAAGAGCCAAACCAGAAGAACAAACTTGCTGCATCCCACTTGGGAGAAACTGTACATCTGGTCACTTCTTGTTGGTATTGTGCACAAATTCTGTACTGAGGTCTTGTGTGTGTGACTATACAGAGAGAAGAGCAATGGCTTAACCATACCACATCCGCTCTCTTCACCAAAATTAAGGGAAAACCTTAGCTGATAATGAATGATACCTGGTTTTTCTCCGTTTTGGTTTTAAAAACTTTAAAGTCAGAGTAGTCTTATCCATATAAAACTGCTCCGAAACACAGGATAACTTTTTGAACTGCTGTGTATTTTGCTTTTGTGGAGTGGGGAGAAAAGTTACTCAGGGCTAAAATACTGCTGTTCTTCAATTTTTACATTTCACAGTTGTAATTCTGATGTCAGTGTAACATTTCTGAGGGTTCACCTGTTTCTACATCCTCTGCTGGCTTCCATTCGGAACTGAGAACTTTTATTTTGTATGTTAGCCAGGAAAAGGTCTGTACTGCAGAATTTTAAGAACATCAGAAAACTACAAAAAGTGACTGAAAAGATGCTAGAAAAGAACCGTACTCTTACTTGGTAACACAGTATTAATAGGATAAAATATCTGAATGCTCTTTTAAAAATTCAGAATCCAGTAGCAGAATTAAGTTATTCCAGCTGAAGTCTAGAAAATCTTTCACATGGTCAACTCCACTACCTGGAATAAGAGCAGAAGCTCAAGTCATTAATTTGTAAATGCTTGTTAATAACTTTAACTTTTACAATCTTGCACATAATTTAGATGCTTTAGAGCTGATTAAAACTAGCAACAAAAAGGGCTGGAAAAAAAAATCCCATCATCTTTCAATTGCTGGCAATATATACTTCAATCCTGGTACAAAATCTGTAAATGTAATTGCAAGAATTTCACAGTTTGCGCATGAAAAACTGCTGTTAGGTAGTTCTGCATTTCTCTGATGGCTGGCTGCTTTGGAAAATTGCGTGGTGTGGAGAGAGTTAACGTGTGGTGGAGGAAACACGTGTTGGTGCAGAGCATCGAGCAGGCTCTTGTGGAGCATGCAGCAGTGGGAGAGAGAACTGGAGAGAAGCTGCGCTCATCGCACCTGCCTGGGGTTTTGGTCCACAGTCAGCAACATGAGAAATCAGATAGACCTGCTGGCCACTGTCACAGTTTTGGGAGTCCTGGAGCAAGGTAAATGTCCTTTATATGATGCTAGGTAGTATGAAGCTAATTATATTAAACTTTGTGGAACTTGGTTCTTGTGTTTTGCTTGGAGTCTCTGGAATGAAAGTTGCCTGTTTTCCAACATGGTAAAATGATGGGAATGTTTGGCCATTCGTGGTGGAAGTGGCATGCTTGAGGATGTTCATTATTTAATAGGGACTAAAATGATCTGCAAACCTCAAAGCCAGCATCCTAGAAGGAAATGAAATTGAAGTTTTACTTTTAAACTTAAAACAATTTCAACAACAGAATGTCTTTAAAGTACAGTATTTTCTGTGAGTGAATTTTAGCAGGTAATTTGTAACTTAGAGTGGCTGGAGGTAGCCAAAGTAAAGGCCAGTTAATAAATACGCTGATGAAGAGGTCAGTATGCAAACGCACATCGTATGTATGTAAGGAACATCACGTATGCATGTATTTCTGCTCTGTGACCAATACTGTTATGTGTTCATACAGCTTAGCTGCACAGAGCAGATGACAAGATGAGTTGGCAGCACACAGTAATTTGGAAACCAGTGCAAGCCCTTCTGGTCAGAAATAGATGCAGACATCTTCAAAGAAACTCAGCAACTTCTCGTTAATTTAAATAGATGTGTTTGGTTTAGACCCTTCATAAAGAAGCAGTGGTGTTGCCAAGCTCTGTCTGCCTCGTGGGTTTAACCGTGGGTCCTTTGGGCAAAGGCCTCTCCCCCTTGGGCTTCAGGAGGGTCACAGAAGGGGACGCTCCCCCTGCCTGGGGTGGAGACAGGGCCCCCATTTTATTAAAATTTCACATTTCTACAAGGGAAGGTTAGTTTGGGGAGTTTTTTTTATTACTGAGTTAATTCACCATAGAGCTATCACACCTCTGCTTACAAATTGATACGAATCTCTGCGCAACCTGATGTATTTTTAGCCATCAGATGATAAATGTCTTAATATAAGCATTATTTAAAACACAAATAGGCTACTTGAAGAATAGTTCAAGATTTCTGAATTATCAGTAATTTCCCCTCAAACAATATACAGAGAAATGTCTGCAACTACAAATGGAAGATTCTTTGATCTTACGAATTTTTTGGTTATTAAACTAAGTGGGCATGGAGGGAGTGTTTAGTGTGCCAAGAGAAGACATAAAGAAAGGTTGAAATTGAGTAATGGAAATGTTGCTGAGCCTTTTCCATTGGGAAACCCTCAGTAGCAGATCCCTAGATAGCGGTTTTGTCTCAAATATATTTGTTTTATGAGAACTTCAAGTGTTTTTTAAAGGTTGCAGCCTTAGGCATTTTACTTTTGTACTATGCGAACTATAAATAGGTGTGAAGCCATCAGACAAATAGCAAGCCTTGACACCCTCTTATCTATGTTAGATCAGATAAAGTAGCCTCCGTTTATGGTCTCTTCATGGGAAGCCAAGGAGCGATTACGAAATATTACGTGTTTCCTTTCTCTCTACTAGTATGAAATACGTGTGCTAATGTCACCTTGATTCGGAGCAGTGCAGTAGCTTTGCTTGTGTATTTTGAAAGGGCGTTCTGTCGGTGAGTTACAGGTCTGAGATTCGTTCTGAGAAGGCAGAGCACCGAAACATGGACATGCACTATACGTACAAATACTTTTCCATCACATCCTGCTGTAGGAGATGTAATGTAATGGCTGAGCTTAGTATAGTGTTGGTTGATTTTTATTTTTTCTTAATTATCTGGGAGCCAACAGTTTCTGCATTCTTTCAAGTAACTTTCTCCTTTTTAATTTAGTTATGCTCAGTTTAGCAAAACTCCGAGTTTAGTGCTCTGTAGATTGGTGCCCCTGCCCTGTGTTGAATGCTGAACCAGAGCAGAACAACACTACCACAGGTTTGGAGTCAGTCCCCCGTCCCCCCCGCCTTTTTTTTTTTATGGCTTCAAAGGAAATTGAGCTTATGCAATGCCACTGTCTGTCAGCCCCCATGGAGCTTGTTTGCCACTTCACTCAAATGTGGCAGATACCAGATAGAACATGGTTTGACAAGTTTGTAGACATAATCAAATAGAGAATGAAGGTCTGGCTGATACTCCCACTGGGGAGCAAAGTGCAGGGAGAGCTCAGCCCGTGAGCCACGTGGTAATCCACACGGGCGTTTAACCTCGAGACATGGATCAAAAAACTAGTTTGAAAGGTTCCGTAGGGTAGACTGAACTCTTTTCCCTAAAAGTCCACGCTGAGGAGGCTTGTGCAGTGTCTTGGGTCTTCATTCCAACACTTCATTCTGAGAAGGGATTTTGGCGGGTGATTATTCATCCTTAATGCTTCACTTGTACACCAGGCTTGGAAGACAGCTAGCCATCCTCCAAAAGACTGTTGCTCCTCTTCGGCAGTTGTGTTATGTATTATCCATCCCTAAGCTTAAGGCATCTGTTGCAGGATTTGTCTGAGTATTTGCCCCTGTATACAAGCAACATGTTAAGCATAGGGTTGATGGAGAAGTTGGGTCTGAAATTATTCTTACCATGCTCATCAGTCACAAGGATGCTACGTTAGGAAGGGTACAGATAGCATGAAGCAGGATGAGCACCTTTCCCCAGCACAGTCAGGGTTATACCACAAGCCAGAGCTGCACACAATGCAGTAACTTCAGCTCCATTTCTTGAGAGGCAGCTGGGATGAGACCCTGAGTGCATTAAATAGTTGTGTAGGAGAGAGGTGCTTATCTGATGTGAAGAAGAGGTAACAGGATGGGTCACGGTTTCATCATCTTTTTCCGAGAGCTCTGCCAGCTGCTGGTGAATTGCCAGCTGTGCGTGACTGCAGACCCGGCCGTCTGGTTTCACAGAGGGGATGCGGTGCCGCATCCTGCCGGCTCTCAGGGGCAGGATGATGTCCTCACCCTCGACCACAATGAACGTGCTACAAACGAATCGAGAGGAAGCATACTTGTTCCTTCCCACCTTTCTCTCCCAGCCCCTCTCATTTAGGGCTGGGTCACTGCAGACACCATGGAAGAGACTAGAACATGTGAATGTTTTCTGAAATTAATATCTATGTGTATTTAAATGAATAATGTGTAATACACAGGTCACATAGCATCAGAGTATTTACATTTCTAATTCCTTTTTCTTCTACCTATGTTCTAATGCTTTTCTGCAGGCACACGTGGATCTGTCTTGTTTTTAATCTTGCAACATCTATCCCTACTTTCCCATCGCTATCCTGCTGTTCTGCTTTTATCTTCTCTGTTAGAATAAGGCAGTCCACATGGCAATCGTTACAGCCTGGCTCCTTGTCTCTTTGTTCAATGCTCTGGAAATGTTGCTACGTTAGGACCTTGCTAATCCAAATGACTCACTTAGCAGCAAGCTGCCGCAGCCACCAAAGTAATTGTTTTGATAATTTAGTTTTCTCCTATATGAAAATTCTCATTTTCAATAAAGGCAGCAATGTGGTAGTGCACCTAAATATAAACGCTTGACACATCAGCAGTTGCCCATGGGAGTAAGAACTTTCATCAAATAGTGAAATGATAACATGATAAAACTTCATGATAACAAGTTTTCAGTGTTTTGAAGTGACTTTCCATGTCCCTTACAAACGTACCGAGGAGCGATGTAGCAGACACCAAGTCAGTACCTCGGGCCAAACTTGTCACAGGCTGATAGCACTCATTGCCAGCACGTCTGCTCCTTGAACTGCTCGTGCCTTGGGGCTACCCTGCAGAAACGAAGTGGAAGAAATAATCACCCCCTTTCCTATTTCCTTCTCTTGCCAGGATTCGAGCATCTCTAATTGATTTAATGATATCCCAGTGCTTCACGGTTTGGATGCTACTCTGTGACATGGGGCCATCCTTGTATAAAAGCTTTGTGCCCACTAGGTATAGCAGAAAATGTTTTCCATCATTCCCGTCAGACTGGCTGAGGAGGTACTAATACTCTAAATACAGAGCGCAAGATTAAAAAAGAATAATAATTCTGTGATGGGATGTAGACTGGGTAAGGTTTTAGTTCCTGCAGGACCAGGGCGTGTTTGGTCTGCTGGGGAGCAGCACCCAGGGCTCCGCTGCTGCGCCCTGGGCGTGAGACTATGCAAAGCACCAGCCGGCACATCGGCCCTGCGGCACGGGCGCTCTGCCAGGATAACCAAATCTGAATTTAAAGTATGAGCATGAAATAAATGGCACATTTATTCTAGGTTGTGTGTGACAGCCCTGGACTATGAACCTAGACAGTATCAGTTTTTTTTTCCTCTAATCACTTGCGTGATTCCAAGCTAGATAAAGCTTGGCTAGATAAAACACTGCTGGACCGTCACTGTTCTGTGTTGTTCTTTTTTTAGCGTATTTTGCACTGCAGGTGATCTATGCCCGGCGGAAGTACAAGATCTCCCCTCCCGAGACAACAGGTCACCCTGAGTTTGAGCGGATCTTCAGAGCTCAGTAAGATTTTTTGACTTTTTAGTGGTGACTCCATCCAGATATGACTTGAGTCAAGTATCACTACCAAGAAAGAAGTCACTCTCAAGTCACCTTTCACTTATTGCTACTGATACCAGATTTTTTTTTTTGGTTTTTAATGCTTTGTGTGCAGAGGTCTGAGTTTTGATTTGGACCACCTTGCTCTGGCTGGAGCGTTTCTGTTCATCCAACATGATCCTCCTTCTGGCATCGTGAGAGGCAGCCAAATTACAAATTAGTGGCTGTATGGAAGAGGCGCTGAGCATTAATGCGTTATAATCATTAAGTTTAATATTAGTGTTGGCTCCAAATTGTGAGAGTAGCTGAAGCTATCTTAATAACCTAATATTTGCTTGTAATTTTTGCTGTTGAATTGAAGCAAAGGGCCTTGCTGGCAGAACCAGCGATGAGGATGTTTTCATTTTTTTCCTTTTTTTAAGCCATTGTACCGTGAAAGTCAGCACTCGCAGGCCCATGCTGAGGGCTGTTCCTTTTTGCTCTGTTCCTCTGAAGAGAGCAATGCTGGAGCTAAACTGGAAACGTTCACAGATCCCTTTGGCTTCCAGCAAGCACCAGATTCCGTCTTTCATCTCGGTTGCTTTGTTTTGTAAGAGATTGAAAGGAACTGGCCGGAGCTAGTTTGAAAGGTAGTTCAAGCGCGGCACTAAATCCTGAACAAAGCAGCTGCGTGTCTTTGCCGGCGTGCAGGAAACATTTGTGGAGTGATAAAAACACCCGCTTCGGTCCTTTGGCGGTGCAGTGAAGTGTCAGCCTGCATGGGAGGCATCAGCCTTTGCTAGCTGGGGAGCTGCTGCGGCGGCCGTTAATTAAAGACTGGGCTGTCCATTAACCGAGTCGTGCTGCGGGCTGCAGCGTGCCGGGAAGCCCTCCGCTATGTTCTGCGGAGAAGGCGAACTCTGCAAACTCAGGTTTAAGAAGGTATTTCTTCCTTTTTTTTCCCCTTCTTTTATTCTTTTCCCTGTGGAAAAGGATACAAATGGATAATTTTTTTTTCGATGTTTAAAAAAAAATAAAAGGGGGAAAAAACGTATTGATTTATTACTCTCTTGTGGAAACCTGGCAGCCTCCCCTCGCTGAGGCTCAAGCTGCATTTGCAGTGTAAGGTTCTTCAGACTTTTTCTGGCCCCATTCCCCAAGGCATGGTAAACTTTTGGCCAAAGTTAAGATTAAATTGCCTAGGGAATGGTAAAATGTAGGAGAAATCGAGAAGCAAAACCATTGTCTTTAAGAGCCCAGCTCACACCGTCCTCTCTTGCAGAAAATCTGTATTTTTGTCGCCAAAAGGAAGGAAGAAAACCTGGCTGCAGATCTGATCATCTGCTGAATTTGATCTGGGAGAAGGCTCCTTCTTGGAGCACGACTTGTGTGACACCCAAATTTGGGCTGTGCTCACCCAAGGGGAAGAGAAAGCTCCTTAAATAATGATAAGGAACCCGTGCGGCTTTTAAGCTGTAGCCGCACTAGATGTCCGTGAAGGTGCTGTGCACGGGGCTGAGGACAGAGCCTGTTGAGGGTCCAGCAAAACCAAATCTCCATCTGGGCTTCGGCTCATCGTTGCAGGGTCCATGTGAATGTGGGTGGGCTGAATGCTGTGCGTTGTTTGTATTTTAGGGAAGAAAAGCACCCAGATATTGGGTGTCCTTGGTCACAGAGAAGGCCCTTTCTCCGCAGCACAGCAATGCCTCTTACCGGCCCTTTCAGTTTGCTCTGACACGCGTTTCCAGCTCACCTCTCTGGGCTTGGTTAACTGGCCTCTGACGTACGAGGATGTGGTTTTAACTCTCATCTCCGGTTCTCACCAGGGCGAATTGCTCAGAGTACTTCCCGATCTTCATCTCACTCCTCTGGGTTGCTGGAATCTTCTTCCATCAAGGTAAGGGGGATGGGAGGGAACCCCAACCCAAACCAAAAAAACCCCCAACTGTGACTCAGGCACGTCCTCCTCGTACCGGTGAGGCTGTTACTCGGGGAAAGCAAAGTTCCTCTTTGGCCAGGCAGACCGAGGAGTGCCCCAACTCCGGCGTGCATGAAGCTGCTGGTAGCCGCCAAGCCGGTCTCCTGCCCAGAGGGGAGGTTTGGTGGCACGGGCAGCCCTTGCTCCTTTGCCAGAGCCTGGCTGTGTCGTGTATGTGTGTGTCCCTGAACAACCCTTCTCTTAAATAACATCAGGCTGGCATGTGGTGCCAGGGCGGCAGCAAGCTGAAGCAGATACCCAAATCGCTATGTCAGAATGAGAAACCATCACCCAAACAATTCGTCACCCACCGTCCATCCCCTGCCAAGCGGGTTTAGGGGATTCGGCTGCCGCCACAGGGAATATGTGAGGAAGGACCATGGAAGGGAGTGTTGCAAACCCAAGTCCCAGGGCAACTTCTGGGGGACAGAGAAGTTCATCCCTCACAAAAAGGGAAGGAAGAAAAGCCATTTAAACTCCCACAGCATTTTAAAGCCAAGTCCCTCTGTGTTTGGTTCTCGTGGCTGTACCCCGTCTGCAGGGGGAAGCGGGCATGGGTGACTGAGCCAGGGTGCAGCTCCAGCAGCATCTGGGGACCCCCAGGCCCATGAGGACTCAGCTCCCTTCTCCCCCACAGGTGTGGCTGCGGCGTGTGGGCTGCTGTACCTCTACACCCGCTTCAAGTACTTCCAGGGATACGCCGTGGCTGCGCAGGGACGGTTAGTACCCAGCCAAGGCTGCGGGCACCCCAAACCAACCCAGGGAGCCTGGGTGTAGGATGCTGCCCCTGGGACAGGTTTCCTTCCCGTGAGTGGGACTGAAGGCAGATTTGCTTCCCTCTCCTCTCCTCCCGCCCCATGCACTCGTGTCCATGCTACCTCTTCCCTGGTTCAGTCTCATAGGAGGGTGGGGGACACCAAGCCCCTGCCAGCATGCTTCATGCCCCGGGTCAGCTGGTGGTGTCTGACAAGTGTTTTCTCCCCACGTAGGTTGGGTCCGCTGTATGCCAGTGCCCGGCTGCTCTGGCCGGTGCTGGGGGC